TATATATATATATCAACTTGGTATACCATCATATAATTTTATAACCAATGTGGAAAATCATCATGGATATATGGTTTCATTCAGTTCATATTTTTATTATCAGCATATCTACAGACGTTCAAAACTCACAACTTCAATAATTATATTAAATCATTTTATATATATAGTTATATTAAGCTATGTTTTTTTTTAATTATCATTTACAAGTTATTATTATGTCGGTTTGTAGGCTAACAAATTTTGAAAAATTGTTGGCAACAACTTTAACTTCTGGTTCCTAGCAACCATGTTTATGATTCATATACTTTTACAAATTTAAGGTTCTAATGTTTTTAATAACAATATTACAACTATTCTCCTTGGGTCTCATGGAGAGAATATGCACTACATTGCAATATTGGGATCAAAGACAAGAGCTTATGAGTTTTTTTTTTCTCCCAATTTATCCTCTATATATTAAATCGTTATTAGCTGAATCACACAGGTAGTACGTGCTTTACATCCATCATTATGCAAATTTGATTCTAATCGCAGCCAGAAATCCACCTCTAAGTTGAACTTTGCACCATAGCATAGAATATTATGAATGGAATAAATCCAATTTAATTATTGGATCCTATTTATTAATCTTCTCATCAAATTAAGGTAATGATGTTCAAAGCCAAGCTGGGTTGTTCAAGGATGTAACAACAGCCTTCACTTGCAAGTAGTTTTTGAGACTGTATTCTCCTTTCTCTCTTCCGTGGCCACTCATCTTGTACCCTCCAAAGGGAATTGCTGCATCAAATGTATCAAAGGAGTTCACCCACACTGTTCCAACTCTCAATGCTCGTGTCAAAGTGTTAGCTGTGTTAATGTTTTTTGTGAACACCCCTGCTGCAAGCCCATATTTTGTGTTATTTGCTCTTTGAATCACCTCACCAAGGTCCCTATGATAAAAAAATAAAAACAAATTAGTGCATGGAGCAATAACACAAAGATATTGACATCATTTGAAATTAAGAATCACTTTTCTCACTTGAATGTTAATATGGATTGCACTGGGCCAAAGATCTCTTCCTTTGCAATCAGCATGTCATCCTGGTTGTTTTTACAATTAGTAAAACAAGAACTCACATTTTAAGCATCTTTGATACAATTAAAAGATATTATTAGTACTATACCTTGACATTTGAGAATACAGTAGGTTGAATATAGAAGCCAGATTTGCCAAATCTATCTCCTCCAGCTTCAAGTGTAGCTCCACTTTCAATACCAGATCTAATATACTTCAGTATTTTCTCAAATTGTTCTGAATCAATCTGATTTTTGGGGTATACACAAAATCATCAATAGAGCTATACATTTTAAAAGATGTAAGGAAATGTCAAATTAGTGTAATTCTTTCTATGTATTTTTTTTAATTCATTGAAATTGAACTTAGTTACAAGAGATTTATGACACCTGCGCACCCTACTCAACCAATTGAGGTACATTCCGATGGTTTTTTCTATGCAATTTGATACTAAACATTATGGATGAGGGTGTTACCTGAGGACCTTGCTCTATTCCCCCTTTGAATGGATCACCAACTACACGCTTCAAAGCACGTGCCTTCGCTTTCTCAATAAATTCATCGTACACACGTTCGTGTACAAATGTTCTAGACCCAGCACAGCAGCATTGCCCCTGAATGTCACAAAAAGAATCTACTAATTTGTTTCTGAACTCTGAAAAACAGTTGTTTACAAGACAAACTTTATATTTGGATATACCTGATTAAAGAATAATGCAAAGTGTGCTAGCTCAACAGCCTCATCTACATCAGCATCTTCACACACAATAAAAGGGGATTTCCCACCAAGCTCCAAAGTTACAGGCTTAAGATTACTTCTAGCTGCCAGTTCAAGGACAACTTTTCCAGTTTTGGTTGAACCAGTGAAAGCAAGCTGCGACAAAATGCAACATCACAACAACTTTAGAGTTAAGACTATGCACATACTTTTCTAGGCTTGACTACAAGCACTTTATTTGGCACAAGAAACTAATTCCTTCAACCACGAAAAGGAATTTATTTGTCAATGTTGAGAAAACAAGTTAATAGCTGAGGGTCAAAGGGATGAGGAGGTGAAAATGAATACTAATGAAAAGTTAATTATATTAATACCTTATCTATGTCCATGTGACTAGCAATAGCAGCACCAGCAGTTGGACCAAAGCCAGATATGACATTCAGAACACCAGGAGGAAGTCCAGCCTGCCAGACATGATAAATTTGGCATGAACATTCAACATATTCTTCAAACAAAATAACTAAAATCAATCTTGTTTTAAATAAGCATGAATTGTGAGTTGTGACCAACCTCATGAAGCAACTTAGATGCATACAAAGCAGATAACGGAGTCTGCTCAGCTGTTTTGAGAACAATGGTATTACCACAGGCCAATGCTGGCCCAACCTTCCAGGCAAACATCAGTAGAGGGAAGTTCCATGGGATGATCTGACCAGCAACACCAATAGGTTCATGCAATGTCTGCACATGATATGGCCCATCAGCTGGAACTGTGAGACCATGAATCTTATCTGCCCAACCTGAGCGATTTGGAAGTAAAAAATGTTAGTACTAAGTACTAGTTACATAGAAGAGTAAACATCCCATGAATTTGGAAGCCACTATTATATTAGTATATGAAATTGAGAAATTGTAAAATTAGTCCTTGAAAGTGCAAATGGACAATTATATCAGTCCAATACTCAAAAAAATGTGACTAATTATATTCAAGTACTAAAAAGATAGTAAGTAATTAAATTTAAGAACTTATTTGACATTCTAGAGATTAATTTTATAATTTCTTAATTTCAAGAATTAATATGACAATGGCTTCCAAATTTAGTGACTAAAATGGACGTTTACTAAAAATAAGGGGACAATCAGACAGCTTATTTATTTTCACAAATGACATATGTACCAGCATAGTATCTAAACAGGCGAACCAGCATTGGAATTTCAATTTTAGCAGATTGTTCATATGGCTTCCCATTATCCCAAGTCTCAAGTGCAGCAAGCTCATCGTTGTGCTTTTCAAACAGATCAGCAGCACGCAGCAATATCCTTTGTCTTTCCTACATGTTACACAACAAGCAAACAAAACATGGATTAAGTTGAGTAATCACGGGAACAAAGATCATGGACTTTGTACATTGTTAAGGAACAACTAGAAAGGTGAAAATACATAGGCTGTCATCTTAGGCCAAGGTCCATGGTCAAAGGCTTTGCGCGCAGCTGCGACTGCGCGATCAACATCTTCATGATCACCCTCAGAAACATGAGAAATCAAATCTCCTGTCCTTGGATCGATCGTTGGAAAAGTTTTGCCTGATGTCAGGGGAATCACAACATAAGTTATAATCACCTTGAAATCCTACTTCTTGTCCAAATAGTCTAGTGTGTTTGGATTCACATTAGATAAATCAAAATTTTGTTCACAATGTTTGGTTTCATATTGAGAATCAATTCTGATCTCAGTTGACACAACTTTAGTAAATTTTGTATTTGATAAAATTTTTTAGCGTTTTCTTCTTCACTTGAATTTAGAATAAAAATATTCAATATATATCAGGTCACTTCAAACATTAATTTTAACTTGTTTGGATACAAGGACCTCTTCTAGAATAACCTAGCAGCAGTGTAGGTCAAAGAGTTTACACTCTTTGAATGCAACTGTCACCAGGTTATTCTACAGGAAGTCCATCCAGAACACAACTAAATTTAATTTCATTAAAAAATAAGTATACAAACATTAACTCAAACTGACACAATGAAAATGGGGATAACACTAGGGAGGGTGGAAAAAAAGGACTAACCAGAAGCAGCATCAACGAATTTTCCGTCGATTAGGAGCTGGTTGTGTTCTACTTTAACTGTTGGTTTAATTGGTTCTTCAATGGCAGCAGCAGTGCTGTACTTATTGAGCCGGGTGCCAAGGGCACCACTCCCTCCTGAATATCATAAAAAGGGTCAATAGCCTTAACTAAAAAGTCTTACTAAAAGAAATAACCCATTAATGAAAACCCCAAATCAAAGCCAAGGCCAAAGTACACCAATTAAAAGGCATAATTAGGTTTATCATGGCATGTAACATAAATTGATATGGTCCCAGGAAGGAAGTGGCTTCCAATTTGCTACACCTATACCCTGAAAGTAACAACATGTACTTGATGTAGCAGTTAATCTGCGAAAGAAACAGGTGGTAGCTGAAAACAAAAAAATAGGGCCACCCAATAAATGACAATTCAGAATGGATCATACACCTTCCTTGGCCTCATCACAAATAGCACTTTCAGTTACGGATCCTTTTTAAGTTCCAAACTTTTTATCTCCCTCACTCGGTCAATCATAAATGGTCATAATTTTGTTTCTATAAAAAATTCTAAGAAACCAAAAGTACAAAAGTTAAAAAATACAAAAGTTCACTAATGTAGTTTTCAATAGAAATTTTTCACATATTAATTCTGTAACCCCATTTCACCACCAATTTAGAAGTGACTGGTTAGCAAGACTCAATTTTTTAAAGTATTTAATTTTCTCTTTTTCCAAGAAAAATAACACTTGATCAATCCAACCATCTCCAATCCCCCAAAGAAATTGGAAACTACAGTAAGGATCAAAGAATGATCCAAATCCCCCAGAAACCAATCATAAGTCAAACAAAAAAGTTACAAAATTGGAGATCATTCATTTTCATTTTCAACATGTTCTCAGTAACCTATAACAAAAGTAATCAGATCACCCCAGGATCTTGGAAGTGACAAACAAGAAGTACCTCTAGAAAACAAAGTAGTGGAAGCAGGAAGAATAGAACGAGAGAGTAGCCTTGAGATCCTCATTGAAGAAGCCATGATCAATCTTCTTTTGTATCCCTTTCCACTACTGTTTTTAGTCCAATTGATAAGTTTGTGAGTTTATATAGTTGCGAAGTTAGCAGGTCCAATAGAACATCAAGCCCCTATCCCATTGAGAACGTAACTCATGTTGTAATAATGAGGCCAGAAATAATGAGATATAAACGCATAAGCAACCAAATCTGTTGACATCTCAGCACATCTTCCATAATGGCTGTGGCTATCCAATTCCAGCGTTGAATAAAATATATGGAAAACTATTGTGGCGGCAATCTCACCCTCTCCTTATGGTGAACTGTTCACACCTTTTATTCTAATCTAGTTAGTACTTATCCTGCCACTCATTTTTATTCCTCAAAAGTTGGTAACCTTTTTATCCATTACATGTTTAATAGTTACCTACTCTTATAAAAAATAATTATACTATTAATTAATTATAAATTACGCTTAAATGTATTTATTATAGTTGAAGTAAAGCTATTTTATTTGAGCGATTTTAGTTATTAACTTTTGTAGTTGTATAATTTTGACTCTCAATTTTAAAATTGAATAATTATAGTTCTTTTAAGAATGTAGTTTTAATTTTTTTAAATATCATAATATACAAGTTTTTACTTATCATTTAATACATGAGTACAGATTATAATATATATAACTTAAATAAATAAATAAAATATATAATTATGATATTTAAGAAATTAAAATTATATAATTATTATAATTGAAAAAATACAAATTTGAATTAAAATTTGAAAATTAAAAGTATACAATTACTGAGAAACTAAATAAATCATATAATTATAATATTAAAGAGATTAAAAAAGCAGAATTAGGCCTGTAAATAATTAGCAATATATTATATTTGTTCTATTATAAAAAAATAATTTTACACAAATTAATAAAATTGATTCTCTATATTAAATTATATTTAAAAATTATTATTTAAATTAAATCATATTTAATTTAACTATGATTGACGATGATTCAAATTGCGCCGTAAAAGGATTGTTGTGATTGGCCGGCATGTGTAGACCGATTTGGCATACATGTTATGTTAAGATGACTATTCCAATTTTGCCTTTCTTTTCTTTCTTCATTTTGGTGCTTATATTTCATTGTCTCATTCGGTTTCCATTTAGCAACAGGCTAACTGATAGTTTGAAAAAAGCGAAGAAATTGGAGAAAGGAAGAAAAAAAATGCATTTGATATAAAGGCTGTATTTGTTTGAAGTCAACTTACAATATTTTCGAGAATATAAAGATTTATGTATTTTTTTAGAATTATTACAAGATTACAAAATTTATTTTTAAAACAATTTTGGAAAAAAATAACATTCATATACTTGTTGGATAAGGTACCCACTCTCTTTCAAAAAAATTTCATGCTTCGATTCTTAATTTTTGGATTAGTAGTTGTGTCTATAAAAGAAATTATGATGTTTAAGTTAATCGGTGTTTAGAATATATATGTGTAATTTTAATAATGAGTGTACCTTTTGAAGGTGAAATACAAGTGTATGTATAGGGAAAAAATGTTATCATTAGTCGATACGGTATTTAAGTGTTCTCAAAATTTTTTATTATCGTAATCTTTTATACTTGAATTTTTATTTTACTTGGCTAAGAGTTTTTGTTCAACCAAGGTCTTTGTAGCAATACCTATTAAACATGTAGAAGAAATAAATACTTTATCAATGATATTAGTATGTCTCGTTAAAACCTCCCCAACCAAAAACCCTTTCTTTTATGGGAAAAAAGACCGATGATAAGAAAGAGTACAACTCCTCGTTATAAAATCAAACACATTAATTGTAATAAAATTTTAAATGAGGTGCATTTCGAGTCCTCGAAATTTCTTGTTTAGAAAGATATTCGAGTTTGTTTGCCCCATTATCTAAGCTTCAAGTAACTCTAAAGGATTCATCCCAATTGGTCGAGAACTTTTCTTTTGTCGTGTCTTTTCGAGCTTTTGCCTTGTACTTTCCATACCAAGTCTCATTCTCGAAACTCTTTTTTGACTAAATGAGAAATGTCTTTGGCTTTCACTTTTATAACTCACTTCTTGTTATGTTTGTGCTCGTTCTTGAATAATGCTTATTAATTCAAGTTCAATTTTGAAGGAATATTCGTTATCATTATTTTGCCAAATTGTTCTAGGAGAAGCTTCCCCTATCTCTACTATTAGCATTGCATTAACACCATAAGTTAGTCAAAAAAAAGTTTCTCTAGTGGTGGAGTGTGGGTTGCACCTATAAACCCATAATATGCTCATTTGCCTTTTGCTCTCCTAATTTTTTTAGTTCACCTAGTATGACCTTATTAACAGCCTCAACTTGACCATTTGTTTTGGGGTGCTCGACAGACGAGAATCAATGTTGTATGTGAAGTCCTTTAAATAATTCATTAAGCTTTATGTTCGTGAATTGCCTACCATTCTCAATTATAATGGTCTTTTAAATTCCAGAACTTTGACAAACAATGCTCTTCCAGTTGAAGTTTTGCATATTTTTTTATCATGATTTGGGCAAGTGGTTCTGCTTCAATCTATTTAATAATCTATCACCACCAATAAAAATTTGCATAAGGCCTTAGCAGGAGGAAAAAGATCCAAGATGTTTATACCCCACATGGCAAACAATAATAGGGATACTATGTTGTATAGGGACTCGAGAGTAGTGTGTATGAGATAACCATGTTGTTGGTAAGGAATACACCTTTTGACATACTCAATTGAGTCTTGTTGAATGGTTGAAGAAGTGTCATCTCCTCATTAGGTTGCTTTTGTTGTCTTTCACTTTGTTTATGCCATTGTTGTAGCTTTCTTTGCAAATTTGCCAACATGCGAGTGTTGTCCAACATTTCATGATTCCTACTTTTTGATCCACTTATTCTTGCCATTTGTTTGTCAATAGAAACCATAGGAATAATTTTCTATGACCTCACAATGTGCACCAAATGTACTTGTTGGAAAATGTACTCGTTCTCTTCCAAAAATCTTTGGTCTTTGGTCCTTGAATTGGTGGTTGCACCTACAAAAAGGACTTTGATGCTTAAGTTAACAAGTGTTTGGAGTGTATAAGTGTAATCTCAAGAATGAGTGTACCTTTTGAAAGTGAAATGCATGTGTATATATAGGCAATCAAATGTTATCAATAGTCAATAAGGCATTCAAGTGTATTAAAGATATTTTATTGTCATGTAATGATCGAACGTTACTATTTGCTACACTCACCCATAGAAGAAAGTGTTCGACACGCTGAGGACTACTCAATTTAAGAAATGTTACTTTCTTGACCTGACGATTAGTGCTCACACTTACTACGCAGGTAAGGGAACACTCTTATGAAATATGAGTGAGAGTCGACAAGTCCTCGATATGAGAGTTCAAGACCTATCCGATACACTTCCTAATTTCATGCTTTTACACTCTATTCTTATTATAATTAATATGTATATTTTTATTCATTCTATTTTCTCACACCCTATTATTTTCATTATTATATTCATTGAAAAGTTATTCTTAGAAATAAAAATGGATAACTTGAATTAAACACTTCAAGATAAAGATATCAAATAAATCTCACAACTCAAAACACATAATTCGACCCTATCACTTGGACTTATTGAAATAGTTTAAGGCTCACTAACTTTTGCCAGCCTATTTTGTTGGCCCAACTGTGGACAAGTTGGGCAAGATTAGCCCATTGTATCTTTTTTTTTCATTTAGCTTCAAAAACAAATATGGGTGAAATATGTTGAATAAGTTTGTAAGTTTTAACATAAAATAAAAGAAATAGCATACAAAATAAGATTGAAGGAGAAGAAATAGATAAGAAATAAAATTAGAAGATCATTTAGTATTATAAAAGACTTGTGTCATATGAAAATTGAAACTATGTGGATTTTAGATTTTTTTATTTTCACACTAATATGTAGAAATAGTAAGAAAGAACTATTATTATTACATTTATTGGCGATCTTTTACTAACAATTTTAGAATTGTCAGAAAATAGACATTAATTCAGTTTTTTTTTTATACTTCTCACCATTAGAGACTACCATAATTTTTTTTTAAAATTTTTTACATATATTAACGGTTTATAAATTGCACAAAAAAAAATACTGGTTGATTAAATGAAAGATGGATTACAATTTTTTTTATTCAATTACAAAACTTTTTACTTGATTACCAAACTTACAAAAATGTTTATATACTTTAAATTTATTTAATTAATTTCAATTTCTTATTTTTATTAATTTTTAATCTAAAATACCACTTTATAATTATTTGCTTACTTTTACTTAATTATTTATTTATTTTATTTCAAAATGTTATTTATTTAGTTATATAATTTTTATTTAATTGATTAAAATCTTTTATTACTATTTGTAAATTTCCTTTGTTTAAACTAAACAAAACTTTTATACTCCATTCTCATATTCAACACTTGTCTGTAAATAACTCATCTAGTTATGATCTTTCAGAGCATTCGTCTAACATAAAACGTGATATAAAAAAGATAATTATTTCGCATTGATCTCTAAGTCTACAAAATAAAAGTAGTGATATCAAATTCATCATAATCAAGTACGCGCTCAAAGAATAACAAAAAAAATACATTCCATCGAAATCTTATCAAAATTAAAATGAGATTTAACACACACAGGCACACACTCGCATGCACACACACACATGCGCATGCGCGTCCACACACACGTATGTGCATGCGTGTCTACACACACGTAGGCACACATACAAGTATATTAATTAACTATAAAAATGTATATTTTTTTAAACTGTCTAAACAAATAATTCAAGATTTAATACAATGATTATACATTATTTGTGTAGCCATTGTATTCAATCTCAAATAAAAAATTAAGGTTCACAATATTTCTAACAACTATAATAGAACACTTTGAGATAACTAAGCATATAACTATGCTCAGTTAAAACCCACATATAAAGTTAACAATATAATATAAACATGTAATGCACCATATCAACACAATAAAAATTATACTAGTAATAATTAAAGTATTTATTTAATTATTACTAACTTAAAGTGTAATAAAAATATATTTTAATTAAAATTTTAAATTTTTAATCTATATCTTCTAAATTAACTAATATCAGAAAACTAATATATTTTTAATTTAAATTCTTATTGTCTAGCATTGTGTAACTAACAATTTGTATTTGATTATACTAACGTAAATTTACTGATTATCTAAAG